CATGTCCTATGGAGTCAGCTGTTCACATTTACTTGAAGGAAGCAAGTGAGAAATTGGGAGGCTGCTTCCCCACCTCCAGCTCCACTACAACTCCTCTTCATGTTGGGGTTCTCTGGCCTGATTTCCTCGGCTTGTCTCCCTCTCTGTTTCTTGCTTCTCCCCATTCTTTGAAAGCAAGAACTTCTAAGTGCAAAGTGGGGTGGCTCTGGAACAGATGACAGAGGGAGGCTGTAGAACCTCATTCCTAGAATGCTAAAAAGCAGTTGGCCAGACACACTGCAGGCAGGATGTGCTTGGAGGCAGCAGGCTGGGACACACGACTCAGTAAGAACAAGCCAGTTTCATGGTTCTGCCTTCCAGAAGCCTCTTTCACCACAATGCCATGCCTCCAAACCTTCTCCTCCACTCTTGCTCTGCAGACATATTGATAATAGCCTATAGACCTGGCCTATATTTTAGTAATTCTTCCTCTGCAGTCTCTTGGATCTCTTTACATGGTCCCTGTCTCCCCCTTGCTAGAAGGTTCTCTCTGCCTAACTGCATGCCTGAATGAACACGGGCAGATCTGAACATTTTGCAAGCTTGTTAGCTTTCCCTAAAAACCCTTCCACTTCTTTTCAAGCCACTGAAATGGATTTCTCCGGCATTTCCTTGAAAGGCTGGCCAGGGGCATTTTTCACTCTACAAAGCTCACACTTAACTATATATTAATTAGGGACAAACATAGATTTTTAAAGGCCCAAGAGAATAGGACTTAGAACATATTTTCCCAAACAAAGTGAGATTCCACAGAGGAACCAAAACTGCTGTAGAGACGAGCTACAAAGCGTGCAACAGCTCTTCGGAAGTGCTGCTGGCTTTGAATTACAGCTTTTATAAATGGAATCATCGGAATGTAAATCTTTCAGGGCCAGGGCAGTGCCTGGCCCAATGCATCGCATGCAGCAGGAGCCCAATATATGCTCCTCCATCCCAGTGTCTTTTTAAAAATCTTTATATTATCTGCCTCTCCCAGCATATAACACTGCCTATTATGAAACTTCTGCCTGACTTTATTTTAGAATGTTTCGTTATGTGCAAATTGTATTATGAAGTACTCAGAAGGAAAAAGATCATAGTCTGCTTTAAGACAAGTGGTTTTGTAAGCAAAAATCTAAGTCAGACAATAACAACAACATGAAATAAACTTGAGGATCCAGGTAACAACGAATTTACTGGTAAAGGAATATTGATAAAAGAAGAGTGAGTAGGTAAGGGAATGAGCAGCTAGTTCATCAGATAGCCTTCCCCCCAGTTAGATGGGAGCACAAGTATAGAGAGTAGCATGGAGTCTCTTGTACCTGGGTCTTCTTACAGTTTGAGTAAAAAAGGAACAAATACAAAGGGGCTTCTCAATTCTGAGATACAAAGAGGGTGAAATCGGGGCTAAGATAACAATTGATTTTTTTCCCTGAAAGGCCAAGAGCAGTTGCAAAAGAGGAGAGGGGAGGGTTGGGGGGTGTCCTTGGGACATGGAGCAAGGGTTTCTGGGGTGCAACTACAGAGGACAGAGGTGCTCTGGAGGAGAGAAGCGGCTCCATTAGACATGCACACCACTCACTAAGGTGATTTTGTCAGCAATAACTTATTGATCAGGAAGAGCAGTGCAATGTGAATCAGCAAGTTCAGGGAAGGACTAAGAAGAAACAGCCCATCCTCAACCCACGCCCTCTATTCAGCTGGATTCCATCGGGCAGGCCCAGTTCTGCCCATGGCAGGCGAGGTGGGATCGGTCACCTCTCCTGGCTTCTTTCAGGCACTTCCTCTGAATCACAGGCCGAAACAGAAATCAGTAGTTATGTGTGTAGGTGAAGGAAGTGACTTTGTTTGGCACTTGTGGATGCAATTTAGTAGGGTGGAAGCAGAATTTTCCTAATACTTGATTTTCATGGGCCTCCAAAATGATGTTTCTGGTGAGGAGGGAAGTAAAGTTGGCATTGGAGACATCTGTGGTAAATAAAACCTCTAGGAACGGAATCTGTGATTCTTACCTGCCCCTTTAAGCATTCTGTGGATTTCTGCAAAGGCTTAGGAGGACGGGACTTCACTAACAATGCATCAAGTGTGGCTTAGGCTTACCCACAGGTGGAGAGACAGGAACCGCTTCTGTGAAGTCTCCCGCGCCCACCAAAGTCGCTCTTCTCCATTTGGCTGGCTGATGCCCCAGATTCAATCATTAGAAATACTTCCTGTTGGTGTTCAGGCTTTCTTCTTTGTAAAAATGCAAATTTCCTTTAGAAAGGAGACTCACAAAGCCTCATGAGTATTTGCATCTTAGTACAGCTGCATTTGCTAAAATTTGTTGAAAGGACATTTTGAGAGAAGAACTGGTACAAAGAGAATGAGGATGCTGGTGAAAGAATTGAGCGCAGCAGAGGGAAGCTGGAAATGTTGACACTTCCCAACGTCCCAAAGGAACACCTGTGACGGATGGTAGGGTTTGGAATTCCTCTTGCAAAAACTGATTCTATGCCCCTAGACAGACCCAGGTCCTGTTTATGACAGAAATTTCAATGGAACAGAGTATACTTTCCTTGAAACCAGCTATAGTCAATGATGGGATGAGCAAAATACCTGGGTTCCTGCTATGCACAATTAAATACTTGCGGAACTGTCATCATTCTTTCTGAAACTGTTCGTTCAGGAGAATATTTGTTTTTTAAATCTGTCTGAAAGGTCCTGAAGGGTAGAACCATCTTTTCTTTCTCATTCCCTTTTGCAGTCACACACTGCGGACATACCCTTACTCTGTACACAGGATGAATAAAAGGATGAATGAACGCTGGAATGAATGAATATGATGATAGTCTGAAACAGTTTTTGTAACTGCGGCACTTGTAACTAAGACGTAACTAACCAGGACTTGGAGGAATTCCTCTTGTTTGAAAAGATAACGTATAAACCGGAAGTACTAGCGGAAAGGTATTGTACTCACAACTGCTTTCTACTTTCTGTTGTGTGTGACCAGTAGGCGTGAAGCGGAGAACTATAAAGCTTTACAGCACAACAGAACGTCTACTCCGACCTCCGATTGTACAGGTGAGAAGCCCAGAGAGCACGGTGACTCGCTCAAGGCCACTAACAGCTAGAGACAGAGACGCAGGCCCCTGACTCCCAGCTGGTCTTCCTTTGATTCATTTCTCTCTCTGACGGCTTTTTATGGCCGCATTATAGTCCCAATGAAGCCGGCTCCCTAACCCCTGCGTACAGATCATACCTTGACATGCTAAACCCTGCCCTCGCTCTGTGAAAAATCTGCGCAGCTCTCCTGGCGGAATGTGACTGTGCAGAGAGACGGTATTGTTTCAAAGCAACTTAAAATCCTTGGGTGACATAATTCTAGAGACGTAGTTCAAGGATCAGCTCAACTATCTGGTCTGGCAGTTTGATTTCTGCAGAGGCCAACCCGTGCCGCCGACTCACGGTGAATCAAACCACCAAAGGACAGGTTCCTGATTTGTTCTGATTGCGGTGAGCAAATGGCACTACTCCAACCTGGCTCCTGGGATGCTATCTCAACATCAGACGGCAGATTTTCTGTTATTGCACTTGATAAATTTAATAAACCCTGCATGTCATGTACGAAGTCCTTCGGGGAAATAAACAGCACTTGCAGCGTATCTCCTACCAGACACCAACAAAGCCCTTTCTTCTTGGTTGGATGTGCGTGCAGTGGTCACGCACAGGGATTCACGTGAGGAGGGAACGCGAAAGTGCTGGGCGGCTCTTTAGTTTTACTGACTCCATGTGCTTCAGTCACTTTCTAATATTTGACTAAGGATGGACTACAGTGTCTGAAGTGGAAAACACCTGAGGGAACATCTCTGGTTTAGAGATGAGGATAAATGAGAAATGATGCGACTTGCTCAAGGTCAAACGGCTGCAGATGCCGGGCCTGGGAGACAAGCCAGGCCCCGAGGCTCCCAAGCCAGGCCTCTCTCCCTGGGCCCTCCCCAGTCTAATCGTGAAGGCACTGGTTGGCTGGCTCTGCTGTCTACCGCCATCCATCCAGAGAACCTGGTTTTCACCCAGTCTGCTTCCAAGCACGGTCAGAAATAAGAGGAAACTACCAGAAAGGGACAGAGGATAGGAAAGAAAGAAGTGACCAAAGGAAGCTAAGTTCTTGTCCTACTACAGTGAGTCAGTTCTACTGGAAGCCTGACAATTAGGATGGCTAAGGAAGTTGACCAGGAAAATATTAAGGCTTGCCAGAACCTCCATCAGCTATTAGTTTTTAAAGAGTGGAATTGCACAAGCTTGTTCTCTATACTTCCTGCTTCCTACAGTACCGCACACCTGTGCAGAGAAGGGGGAGCCAGGCAAACCCTGCCAAGAAAATCTATCTGGATTTTGGAGGTGAGTCATTTGCTTCCTTCTCTCAGTACATGGACCTTAATCAGTTGTACAAACACAGAAACTGTATCTGCAATAATAAAACAGAATAT